CACACACACACACACACACACACACACATTGGAGGTGCCCCTTGATGTGAGGGTTGAGATAAGCCTGGGATGTTAATCTATATGTTGATTAGGACACTCTCTGTGAGGTGAGAAGCGAGGGGATGGAGTTAGTTTAAAAAAAAAGAAACCTTACACTTTTAGTTGTCCTCTCTAAATTAGATGTAAGGTTTTTTAAATGATTAGTGTTAATTAAGGGCTATTGTTATTTTGTTTTATAAGGGGATAGGAGTTCAACTTTTAAAAATGGCACAGGATCATTCTAAGAAGAGTGAGAGGGCTAATGAGCCAGCACCATACCTCCTCTATGCATTTTCTTGACCTGTATCTGATCTTGAAAAACTTGACTCTTTTTAAAAAAGTTATTTTTCATCTATCATTTTCAACCATGCAGCAAGAGATCAAATTTAAGAATAAGTAATAGTTTGTCACGATTTTACGGGAAATAGTCAGTGCGCGATGTCACATCTTAAAGACAGCTTGAACTGGTTAAATGGTTAGTCTTTTTTTCAAACATACCGTACGTTCTGCATGTTAGTATATCTGGCCAATCGATTTAGACCCTACTGCCCTAGACGCATGCCCTCATTAGGGAAGTCACGCTTTGGGAAGAGGGGTTTCATTTCACAGATCCACCTTGATTGTTGTTGTGAGGGGTGAAGGAAGAGGGACGGGGGAGGAAAATTCAGAGGATGAAGAAGCAGAAAACATAACTTGTTTTGTAAAACGGACAGCACGTCAGTTTCAAGAAAAAGCCCTATAAAAAAAAGAAAAAAGGTACAAGTATATTGTGTTGAAAATATCGCAAAAAGTCGTAATTTTGTATAATGTATTAGTTGCATGTTGTATTTTGCTAGAAATCACTATGTAGTTTTTCAAAAAATATAATGGAAAAAGGAGAGAAAGACAAAAAACAAAATATCACAGTATGTTGAAAAAATATGAAAAAGTAATGTGTTTAAAATAACATGAGAGAAATCAAAGTAACGCTTCTAAAAAACATATATTTTAGAAAAGTAATGTTAGTCATGTCAAGTTATCAAGACTGCTGTGTTTCATCGAAACAGTGTTAAAATCACAAACTTGCCTTTTAGAGAGACATAAAGAAAACGAATTCCTTACAAATTAATGAATATTTTACCCGGTTAAAAAGGTTTGCATCCATTAAAGTGTAACTAAAAGTATCTTAGTAACACAAGAAAAGAGAATAAAGCATTGATGTCAACAAAACTGGATTGCTCCATTGAAATAGCGTTAAAATCAAAAAGTGCCTTTAAAGAAAATGTATTCAGGTAAAGTATTTTATTTTCAGAAATCTTTTAGGTTTTGCATACATAAAAAGTGTATCTTACAGTTCCTTTGTGAGAGAATTACACACAAATCTGCAGAGTGTCACTAAAAAGTTTTACACAGGGACTGACATTCTGTATGGGGGTTTCATACCTGAGCTGCTGCGGGGGGAGGGCGTTGAAAAGGGGGTGAGTATGTTTGGCTCTCGGGGGATGGTGTGTTGAGAGTCACAGTCTTAAAGAAAATCTATTCAGAAAAAGTACTTAACTTTCTACCAGTTGTAAAGTTGTCATACATATAAAAAAAGCAAGAGACTTACTGTTCCTTTGTGAGAGAATTACACATAAATCTGCAGAGTGTCTGTAAAAAGTCTTAAAATCACAAAACTTGCCTTTTAGAGTCAGAATCCTAACGAAATCTACTCAAACAGAGTACTTCATGGTAGTGGTGCGCTTTTATACACAAAAGTGTATCTTTCAGTAACTTTCTCAGAGAATTTAAGCATAAATCTGTCAAATGTTCAAAACAGTCTTGTTTCACTGAAATAGCCTCAAAATCACAAACTGCCATTAAGAGTCAGATTCTTAACGAAATCTACTGACACAAAGTCTACTTCATTATCTACTTTTCAGCTTTTATACACAAAAGTGTATCTTTCAGTAACTTTTTTGAGAGAGTTAAGCATAAATCTGTCAAATGTTTCAAAACAGCCTTGTTTTACTAAAATAGCCTCTTTTAGAATAACCCTTTTTTAATTTTTTTATAGGGCTTCAAGATATTTTGCATGTCATGCATAAACACAGTGTCATCTTTATTGAAACTGACGTGCTGTCCGTTTTACAAAACAAGTTATGTTTTCTGCTTCTTCATCCTCTGAATTTTCCTCCCCGTCCCTCTTCCTTCACCCCTCACAACAACAATCAAGGTGGATCTGTGAAATGAAACCCCTCTTCCCAAAGCGTGACTTCCCTATTGAGGGCATGCGTCTAGGGCAGTAGGGTCTAAATCGATTGGCCAGATATACTAACATGCAGAACGTACGGTATGTTTGAAAAAAAGACTAACCATTTATCCAGTTCAAGCTGTCTTTAAGATGTGACATCGCGCACTGACTATTTCCCATAAAATCGTGACAAACTATTACTTATTCTTAAATTTGATCTCTTGCTGCATGGTTGAAAATGATAGATGAAAAATAACTTTTTTAAAAAGAGTCAAGTTTTTCAAGATCAGATACAGGTCAAGAAAATGCATAGAGGAGGTATGGTGCTGGCTCATTAGCCCTCTCACTCTTCTTAGAATGATCCTGTGCCATTTTTAAAAGTTGAACTCCTATCCCCTTATAAAACAAAAATAACAATAGCCCTTAATTAACACTAATCATTTAAAAAACCTTACATCTAATTTAGAGAGGACAACTAAAAGTGTAAGGTTTCTTTTTTTTAAAAACTAACTCCATCCCCTCGCTTCTCACCTCACAGAGAGTGTCCTAATCAACATATAGATTAACATCCCAGGCTTATCTCAACCCTCACATCAAGGGGCACCTCCAATGTGTGTGTGTGTGTGTGTGTGTGTGTGTGTGTGTGTGTGTGTGTGTGTGTGTGTGTGAATTGTTCTTAAAGGTAGGGGGTATGTCATTTTTGGAGAAACCAGTTAGAGTGAGTCTTTTGCAGTCAAACCGGGGGGAAAATCTGCCACTTCCTCACAGAGCCCCTCCTCCAGCACACATGAACGCGCGTACATAACCAAAAGAGGGCACGAGATAAGTTTGTGCACAGATCTTTCGGCGTCTGAACCCCCCGCACTGCTGCTGCTGCTGCTGCATTAGTTTCTTGACTGACGCTCCGGACGGATGGCGGTAAGTTGTCACAGGCTGATTAAACCCCATTCGAGGCGTCTCTTGGCCATTTTTCTTTTTTAAAAAGGTGACTTGGTAAGTGGAAATGACTGTCTTTTTATTTAGTTTGCGCATATTTCTATTTTCACCTAATTCCATCACCCACTATCTGCTTCGCATCATAGCCACAGGAAGGGGTTGAGAAAAGGGGGGAGAGGCCTGGGAGGGGGGCGGGTAGACAGTCTCACGCATAACTTCAAAGAGACACCTAGATTAACATCAAAGGCTTATAACACACCAGTGTGAAGTCACACCTGCCTGTTATAACACCTCACATCAAAGGGCAAACACCAAAGGCTAATTAGATTAGACAACAAAGGGCTCTGAGGGGCAGGGGCCAGACAACACAACTTCAAAGAGACTACCTTAATCAACACATCAAAGAATTAGACAACAAAGGGGGTGTGAGGGGACAGGGGCCAGACAACACAACTTCAAAGAGACTACCTTAATCAACACATCAAAGAATTAGACAACAAAGGCGCTACCAAGGGGGCTTTTCACACCTACCTGTTATAACACACATCAAAGGATCTTGAACAAAGGGAGGCGGGGACTTAGCTCATTAACATAATTGTACCCCCCTCACATCAAAGGATCTCGAACAATGGGAGGCGGGACTTAGCTCATTTGCATGATTGGGGGCGTGTCCACCGGTCACTTTTCATGCATACTAATGTGATTGAAACAGCATCCTTATAACTACTCACCCGCACTGCGAGGGGGACTCAAGTTCCCATCATCAAAAACACGTGGGTTTGCTATCCTGGCTCCAAGATGGTGGAATGAGCTCCCCATTGACATCAGGACAGCAGATAGCTTACACACCTTCTGGCGCAGACTGAAAACTCATCTCTTTCGACTCCACTTCGAGCGATATATCTATTAACAAAGCACTTATATACTAATAAAGGGCTGGGTTATCTAAAGCCAGTTGAGTAGCACTTGAAATGTTTTTGCTCTATGAAACCTGATGTACTTATATGATTCTGTTTTCTTCAAGTTTGTATTTTGTTGGTCGAACGCACTTATTGTAAGTCGCTTTGGATAAAAGCGTCAGCTAAATGCAATGTAATGTAATTAGTGAAACGAGAAAGGGCCTCTGTCTCTTACACATACGTCCACTTGAGAAAATTGAGGAAGACTGACAGAGCACTGTGGGAAGAAATCTGATCTGATGTCAACATGAGCTCATTGGTTAATTACACATTTCCTATGAAAAACTAGTCACTCTTTCCTTCCTGTTTTATATTGGCATGACTAATTCATGCTCATGCCATGCAGATACATTTGAACTTCACTCTCTACCAAGATCCCACTTTAAAAAGGCAGAGTAAATAGTCATTTTTGCTCAACTCATAATCAAGTAAAAATGGATGGCAGTATTATACTTGTGTTTCACAGGCAGATATATTTAACGCCAACAGTTAGATGGTTCATCGAGACAACTGCAGAATGATTTAACCTCTTTTCATTCTTTACCTGACCTTTATTGCAATTGTAATTCTGATAATTTATCATCTAAAAACAGAAGACAAAAGTCAGGTTTTGTTGGTAAAATAGCCATCCTGTAAACCTCTAATATTAGATGTTTCTTCTGCTTCATCACTATTAACAAGGCCGATGATTCAAAGTGACATATTTTTGGTCACATCTCAGCTCTTGCGCCTCTAAATTATTCCTGTCACCTAAAAGCATGACTGTACTGGATCACCAAAACAAAAGGGAGGATGATGAAACAAAACAAACACCTTGTGTAAAGAAAAATCATGTAGAAGCAATTCAAGTCAAGTTGATTGATGCAAAACAAAGCTTACTTTTTAAAAATAAACATAGATTAAAGCCTTACGATGCATTTATTTCACATTTTCCGCTATTACATGAACTGTACAAAATACTCGCTGATAAATGGAGAGCAAAGCTGCAAATAAGGTTTAATAAACAAAGGTTTCGTTTTGGTTTGTTGTTTCCATTCGTCTTGTCCTTACAGAAGGCATTGTTTGATCTGAAAGAAAACCAAAGAAGAAAAAAGGTTTAATCCTTTAAGAATTGACATATTACTCCCATTTACTATATATTTAACAATATATGAAATATATAAAGTGATTAATCCCAATACTTACATGATGTTACGCTGCAATTTTACCAAGAGCTGTTCCTGGTTTGAGTTCAGAATAAACAGTTTCATCCGCTGCTGCAGGACTTGACTTCCCTATGAATTAAGAGATTATTATTTATTTGTTTACAGTATTCCCCCCCAGTTAAAAATGAAAATGTACTGGTATACATTTTCCTCCCAAGAGGGTAAAGGGATAGTTTGATAGAAGGAATTGCTCATGATGATTCACAACAGTTATACATGTATGGAAACAGATGAATGAAATGTAATATGCCCTGATGTTTTTTCATGAATGCATAGAATTGACAGAAAATAAACGTAACAAACATTGACAACGTTTTTGTGTAGGGTTTGAACATTGCTGACTTTGGCCACACCTTGTGGCACATTTAAAAATGACACCCTAGCAGGCACAATAACAAAAACTTAAAGCAAGTAGTATTTCTTCATACCTGCAGCTGATCTCATCTGCACATGTGAGTAAACACAATCCTCCGGTTCATTTCTCTTCCCTGTTAGACAGATCAGGAGAAAGCATGAAAAGACAAAACTTATTGCATGTTTTTGTTACAACATAAATTCAAACACTCACCCTTCTTAGAAATGTTTTTGAGCTCGACCACAGAATATGTCACATCCCTGGATTCATCTGAAATATACAATTTATTTTATATTTAAAAGAGTGAACCTTGAATTGTCATATTCCAGTATTTATATTTACTATACTGTACCATTTGCAGGTTCTTCAGTGCCTTTGATCGTTTCATAGAGACAGACATTATCTGAAGAGAAATCTATATCAAGGCAAGGCAAGTTTATTTATATAGCACTTTTCAACACAAGGCAATTTAAAGTGCTTTACAAAAAATGAAAGACATTAAGAAAATGATATTTAAAATCAGTCATTAAAAAGAAAAGCTAATAAAAGAAACATTAAAAGAAAAAGTACATGGATAAAAGTTACAGTGCAGTCTAAGATATGAATAGTTCAATTAAAAGCAGCGACAAAAAGAAAAGTCTTCAGCCTGGATTTAAAAGTAGTCAGAGTTGCAGCGGACCTGCAGGTTTCTGGGAGTTTGTTCCAGATATTTGGAGCATAATAACTGAACGCTGCTTTACCATGTTTAGTTCTGACTCTGGGGACAGAAAGCTGACCAGTCCCTGAAGACCTGAGAGATCTGGATGGTTCATAATTTAGCAGGAGGTCATAAATGTATTTTGGGCCTAAACCATTCAGTGCTTTATAAACCAGCAGCAGTATTTTGAAATCCATTCTTTGACACACAGGAAGCCAGTGTAAAGACTTCAGAACAGGAGTGATGTGATCCACTTTCTTAGTGTTAGTGAGGACTCGAGCAGCAGCGTTCTGAATTAGCTGCAGCTTCCTAATAGATTTTTTAGTGAGACCTGTGAAGACACCATTGCAGTAGTCGAGTCTACTGAAGATAAAAGCATGGACAAGTTTTTCCAAATCCTGCTGTGACATTAGTCTTTTAATCCTAGATATATTCTTTAGGTGATAGTAGGCTGATTTAGTAACAGTTTTAATGTGACTGTTGAAACTCAGGTCAGAGTCCATGACTACACCTAGATTTCTGGCTTTATCTGTTGTTTTGAACATTGCAGACTGAAGCTCAGCGCTAACTTTTATACGTTCTGCCTTGGCTCCAAAAACCATTACCTCAGTTTTATCTTTGTTTAATTGGAGAAAGTTCTGACACATCCAGTCATTGATTTGTTCAATGCACTTACTCAGTGTTTGGATAGGAGCATAGTCTCCTGGTGAAATTGTTACGTAAATTTGTGTGTCATCCGCATAGCTATGGTAACTTATTTTGTTGTTTTTCATTATCTGAGCCAGTGGTAGCATGTAGATGTTAAAAAGAAGAGGCCCCAAGATGGAGCCTTGAGGAACCCCACATGTCATATTTGTCAACTCAGATGTGTATTTACCTATAGAAACAAAGTTGTTTCTGTCCTTTAAATAGGATTCAAACCAATTTAGAACTGTTTCCGAAAGTCCCACCCAGTTTTCCAGTCGGTCTAGTAATATGCTGTGGTCAACAGTGTCAAACGCAGCACTGAGATCTAATAATACTAACACTGAATTTCTGCCAAATATATATTGAAATCCCTCTCTATGAACTCCTACATTTTTAAAAACAACCAATGAGAAATGGAAATGCTACTCGGTTAATAACGTTAACAATACATTCAAAACGTATTAAGGATTCAGGCTGACCCTGAAAAACAGAAGCATTTTCTCTTTCGTTAGTTTCGTCCTGGTTGATCATGTGGTCTCCAGCAGGGCTCTGATTGGTCCTCTGAGATCTGGTGGGCAAAACACATGTAGTAAATTAAGTGGATTTATGAAAGGAACATATCACTGCTGTCATGTTCATAATGAAATAAAATAGAGTGTTGTACCAACCTGATACAGCATGAATCTGTAAAAAAAAAGAAGATATTTGCTGCTATGTTATTAAGTTTTGCAAAGTGTTCTACTGTTAAAACAGTACATGTGATTACATTAGAGTCAATCTAATATCAGAAGAAAATGATCTCACCTTTTGACTTTCTGTATAAATACAGGAACAGCAGCAGGAGAATAATCAGTACAACTCCACCAAGCAGCCCAACGATCAGAAGAATGGGAAATTGAGAGGCTTTTCCAGGCCCGGACGCTGCTACTATAAGTAATCTTTATTAATATTTATTTTATATTAAACGTTCCTGTTATAGATTAACTGTATAAAACATCTCTCTTAAGCAAACACAGTTTAATTCAGATGAAACTAAGCTTTCTTTATCTCAGACTGTAACACAGCTTACAAAAAAAGGAAGGGTTTTTAAATCATACTTACATTTGACTGAGAACCAACTCTTTGGTGACGTCCAACCATCTGCTGGATCTCTCCGTTTACATTGATAAAAGCCTTCGTCTGACTTTGACACTGCAGAGATGGTCAGCTCCTTCCTGGTATCGTTCTGGATGAGTTTGTCATCTTTATAGAAATCCACATTATAAAGAACCGTTCCTGTCTTGAACTTGCAGCTAAGAGTGACAGAACGTCCCTCAGCCACAGGACGGACAGGACTCACCAGGATCATTTCATAGTCTGAAAAGAAATCAAAGAATATAAAGGCTTTGACAGAGTCATCAGCTTTTGCAGATGTAATATGTTTATGCACAACTGGCCTAGTCTGGCAGAAGCTGAAATATCAGGTAGATGTATGAGGACATTTAAACACAGAATATTATCTTTGATCTTTGAGAGAAGTAACCCTGGAAATCACTTCGTAAATTAGCCTTTTTTATGAAGTTTTACTAATTGGAAGAGACGTTTGGCTAATGCTTGTTGTCACCTTCACATTTCAAAACAACATAATACTTCAGAAACAAACATTTTAAATAACTAAAACTCACAATATTTAGTGATGTTGACTGCATTACTGAACTGTCCTGTTTCAGACTCACACCAGAACACTCCACTAACCCAGCTGCTGGTTATTGTGCATGTGGATCCAGTCATTGTCCCCCAGGAAGAACAGGGATAAAGGTAGTCAGGTTTATTAAACCTCCTCACTCTCCACTCAGTGGAGTTTCCCTCACAGCTCAGTGACACAGACGTTTTGCTGAAGTGCTGCACACTGTCAGGACTCACTGTGAGAGACGCTGCTGAATTCAAATCTGAAACACACAAAGAGTGGACATTTAAACCATGCAGACTGAAAAAGACAAAGCATTGGTATGGCAAAACTGCCACTTAATTTACCCTGAAAAAACAAACGGGAACAAACAAAAGTAGGAGGAAAACTAAAGTGAAAGTACCAGTGCCTCAGTCTCACACTACAAATGTGTTTAATTATATGTATTGTTTATGTCTTCAACTATTTAAACAGCAGATAAATATCTTAAAACATATTCCAAACTAAAAAAATAAAGAAAACACTTACCACGTATATCTAATGTATTGTAGAAGCCTTATATTATTAGGTTTTGGATTTACAAAGTCTAAGGTTTGAACCATGGCGAACAACAACTCATGTGTCAGGATTAAAAGAGATTATTTTGTGTTCAAATTCAGTCCAGAAGATGAATCAGTCAATCATCATTCTGTTTTAGAGAAAGGTTTTGAAAACTGAACTATGACCTGATGCTGGTGTAAAAGAAAAGTTCCCAAAATAAGTGACTTTGTTCCATTTTGCAATAATGGAAAAGTCAAAACAAACCTCAAGACCAGGCAAACTTTGACAAAGACATTTGTTGGCCTACTGGTGGTACAAACTACAGAAAGAAAGAAACAGGAAGAACATACTGACCTCCAGACCAGACAAACTTAGGTTGACTCCGCCCACTGTAATACACTGGATCTCCTCTTCCTGCTCTGCACACATATCCTGCTGTGTGTGTTTGTCCATCAATGATGAAGAGATGCTGTTCAGTCCCATTCTCGCTGCCAGGTAGCAGCTCATAGTCGTAGGAGTTGTAGGAGTCGTAGGAGTCGTAGGAGTCGTAGGAGTTGTAGGAGTTGTGTGACGGTTTGGGAACAGCCTTATACCAGTAGAAGCTCCAGCCAGCAGAAGGATGATCAACGCTGCAGTCCAGAGTTACTGAGGCTCCAGGACTCGGCCATGATGGAGACACAGTGAGGACAGCCTTAGGTCTGTCTGTTGGAAAACAACATTTCACAGAATGATAACATTATGATGTATAATTGGTGGGTTGCATGCACTCCTTGGATCCTACATATTTGCTGCATACAGTATGTAAAAAACTAATTTAAGTGTGAACTGTACTTAAATATAATAACCAAAATACTATTTGTATATACAGTAAAAAAAAAGATTAACTGATAATAAATGACTTACTCTCAGAAACTGTCAATGTGAAAACAATCCATTTGTCACAGGTAATAAAGTATAACAAGGTTTGTTGGTGAAGTATTATCTTTATGTAAATGCTGTGATGTAAGAAACTGATCGCTGTCTTCTTATTCTTATTTTAATACTCATTATTTTGTGATAACGAAAAGCACAGGATGGTACAGTATACTTCACCTGCCTATACAGCGTCAGTGGAGATGTTCAACCGTTAAAACATTACAATCATTTACAGATTATATATTAGAACTTGTCCAAACTGGCTGATAAATAAATACAAAATGTTTGTATTGAACTTGGTCATGGTGGTATTACTTTGATCACTTACCTGATACATTTAGATAGATTGTATTGCTTTTCTTTGTTGAGCCCTTCTGATAAAAAAAACAGTGGTATGCACCATTGTAGCCTGGAGTTAGAGAATATAATTCATAGCTCTCATGTTTGTCGTAAGGAATCCTTTCTTGATCATTCCAGCAGATTGAGTAAACCCAGTCGCTGCCTTTGTCTCCTGTAATGTCACACTTGAAGGTAACAGACTCTCCGGTAAAGAAAGTGGTCCAGTTTGGCTCAATGGTCAGTACAGCATCTAGAAACCATCACAAGATACAAAAAGTAAAATGTGTTTTCTTTTTGCCGAAAACAGTATTATACATTGACCAAACGCATGTTGTTTGGAGTTACATCGGTAGATTTGTCTAGAATGAGTAGAAAAAAGTATGAAATTGTATAAATACCTTGAGCTTGTCCACGGTAAAGTAAATTCAGAACTGAAATAAGTATGAAACTAAATCAGACATTATCAAACTGACAGAAATATATATTAACTCAGGCATTTAAAACGTTTTATCAATGGTAATTAAAACTGGAAAAGTACTCACAGAAAAAACCCCGTAGACAGAGCAAAGTGTGTCCCATCTTCACATCCAGCACTGATAATCTGCTTCTGAGAAATTCTTCTACTTTGTGCAAATAGAAAGACTGAAACTGCAGCATATGAAGAGCAATCAGGAACTACAGAGAAACAAATGCAATGTAATATTGGAGACGGAAGTTGTTTTTTTAAGTTCTTTACACGGTGAGGGCTTCCTTCCCTTTTTCACTAAGCTCACAACTGAGCAGCTTTTAACACAGCACATTGTTTGCACCTTGGTTTAGATATCCTCTAATGATGAACAGAGATAAGGTGTTAGCATATCCTTCCTGATGTAGATAAGATCATCCTGTGGGCTCATGATTCTTCACATATGGTCAGTAATGCTTGATGCTTCTCTAAAGGCTGCTGCATAAAGTCTTTCTCGAAAAAATAAAGTGCACACAGTTTTAAGAAGGAGATACAATTGCAGGCGTCATTCTCACTTTATAATCCATGGGCCTTCTCACCAATATTTCATATGAAAATGTGTGTAACAGCTTTAAGCAAATAGTTGAAACGCAGTGCTGGAGTGTTAAGGAGGAATTCAAGTTTAAGTTTAGAAACAACCTCACCCACAGGAAGTCTCTCATAGTCTCTTTACCAGAAGTGAATGTGAAGAGAGACAAAGTCCAGCCACCTCCTCGAGATGGACTCTACTTTAAGGGAGCAACATTTCATATCTATAATTAGTAATAAAGAAATCATTTGAATACAGAAAATATGCTATTTCTAGGTGCAACATTTGATCCACAGTCGAACAAAGATTATGTTAATTCAATAAAAATGGTCGAAATAAATAATACCACGACACTTCAGTAGCTGTGTAGTTTTAAATGTGGTGGGTAGTCAAAATGGAAAGCTTCCACTTCCATGCATCAGTGCTAAGCTAAGGAAGTGAACCGTAAGCAGTCAAGTGTTTAGTTATTAGTTAGGAGTTATATGCCATCAGACCCTGGTGCCAGACTTCAGAAGGACTATTTGTGTAGAGTAGGTCAAGTATCAGATAAAGTAGTTTGACACCACCTTGTGGTCAGATATCGAAATAAATCTTCTGTTATAACTGCACAGTGACTGGAGAAAAAGTAAAATAAACATCCTCAGTAAAACATACTTACATAAATTGGACAAAGTAATGTTTGCGGTAGTGCGTCAGTAGATTCCCTTCTTCCATCTCTCTACATACAGCATATTGTTTGTATACGTTACACTCACTTTGAGGGGAAATTAAGGGATTTATGGATACAGCACTCAACACTCATGAAACAGAACTGTATATATTTAAATAATCAAAAATCCTTGATCACAAACAATAACAAATCATTTAAACTTGTTTATTTTTTATTCACACCGTAGTCGCTCCTCTCTCCTCTCTTTATCTTATGTTACCTAGTCTAGATAGCAGTCTTTCTTTTATTTATGCATATTTTACTAATCACTCCCTTTTAAACTGTATTTTTTGATGTCGTCATTATTATTATGCCGTTTAAACAATTATTGAAATGTGTTTAAACAATTATATAAATGTGTTTAAAGATCAAATAAAAAGATTTTTTTACAATTGCCAGTAAAATCGAAATCATATAGCTACAACACTATCTAAGATATTGCAGTATTAAAATCGGAGATAATATGCGTCTGGCAATGCGCAATATTTATTTTGTTCAACCCCCAACACCAAGTCCGACGATTTATTTCTCAGCCGCTCGTCTCCGCAAGATGGCGTCGCGTGACGTCAGAGTGTACAAACATATTTCCACCTGGCTTATTGCTCACAGCTGCTTCCGCCGATAGTACAACTTAGTTTCGTTATCATGTCTGATTCTGAGTCGGAGGCCACCCTTGAATGATGGGTTAGTAAACTAAAAGCTTTAGGAATCCAAACTATAACATATAATAAGTACCCTGTATCAAGATTGAGGCAAAACTAGTGACATTTGACCTTTTTAGAGAGGTTTAGAAAAATAAAGTCCAGGCGGAATCACCTCTGGGTAATTTGGGAACCATCAGTTCCATTTGAACTTTTTCACTGTAAAAATCATTTTATTACTTTGAATTATCACTATAGGTATTCATTCCATCCAAATACAACTGTTGTGAAAAAAAAACAAAAAAAAAACATACTCTGTTATCCTCTTAGGCCCCACGGACCCGAAATCGCGTCATTTGCAGGAAATGACGTCTAAGGAACCTTAATATTTAATAAACTATGAATATTTTATATCCATATAACGGGAAAAAACTCATTTAACTGATCTTTTTCATTTATTTAAAAAAACAAACACAATGCTAACAGTGAGCCTCTGAATTAGCCCAGAGCGAAAAATGCTAACCTATTACTGCACCGAAAATCACTCCTAGCTCCCTTATTACTTATCCTAGCTCCACATCCAACACATTGTTTATGATCGTAAAGACACAGAATCTAACGGTGCCCACCTCAACACTGAAAGATACAAACTCGCGAGGTTATCAACAAAAACGTACATCAAAACAAGTGGCGCTAGGTACTAACATGAGCTAGGCTTACCTTCCTCTTTGTCTGGTCTAAAATGGCATTAAAACGATAAAAACGATGATGTAGTTAATCCATAGGTTAATATCCAATGGGGCTGTGTCCCCTTTGAAATGTTCTGATAATCTATAAGCAATAAAACTGCAATTCCGTTATCTGCTGTCCGCTCTGTGCTCCGTGCGCTTTGAAATCAAATCAAAATTTGTTTACCTCAATTCTTTGGCGTTTCTGCATTGCCCGGCTCTTTCGTTCTTTCGGTTGTTTTTTGTGCTCAAATGTGGAGGGGACGGCTCCGGGTTTCAGCCTCCGATGTACTTTAAATGCTTCTCCACCAACAGACTTGACGATGGCAGGATCAACATCGTATGCATCAGACGCGAAGTGGTCAGAGCACAACTTGCTCCATTTTGTCGGCTGCCAGCCAACAGGATTCACTAAAATAATCCAGTTTTGGCGTATGATTTTGTCTTGGGGAAATGAATGAAAAATTCTCCCAGATCCCGCACCGTTCGTACATCCGAAAGCACAACAATAACCCATGTTTTGCGTGATTTCGCGGATATAATTCAGAGTTTTCTTTTCGAAAAACACCGCTGACATGTGAACAGCGCACGAGACTGCCGAGTCGGGATATTTGGCCCAGAGACTGTTTGGCCAAAATGACGTCACACGCGCGGAGGCTGCTGGGAATGACATGTCAGAAATTCAGACGGCTTTGGGTCGAGTTTTGTATCAATAAAAAGCTTTTTTTCGGGTGTATTATCTCGATTTAAATTAAATAAAAAATACAGGCAGTCTTAAAAACAACATTTCTATAAAAATGTAGCATATTTGGAAGCTTTGCATTTGATCTTTAAACGACATCATGTAAGTTGCGCTGACAGGTGAAAGAGGCCCACAAACTGCTCCCCCCCCCCGTTGACCATTAACATCGTCGGCACACTGATCACAATTTTTTTTTAAATGGCACTTCATATGAAAAAGGTTGCCGACCCCTGATCTAAACCCTCAGAGAGTCCTTTACCTCAATGAGCTGTAGTTATTAGCCTCTCAGTCTGACAGGCGAGAGCTCTCCCTCTCCTTGTTGTAGAAACAGCTTCTAATGTCCATTAGCTCTGAGCTAGCACCAGATGCTAACAACAAAAATCCCCGTAACTGGTACTCTCTTTCTCGCTCGCTCTCACTCACTCAAAATGCACTAGTGACACACACAAACACACACACAAACACACACACACACACACACACACACACACACACACACACACACACACACACACCACACACACACACACACACACACACACACACACACACACACACACACACAGGCACACACACACGCACACGCACACAGCACACACACAGAGGCTGTGCTCCTCCCTGGCGATAAGCGCTTGCGTACAAAAGATGAAAACACATTTGAAAAGTGGGGGACACACAAACGGGATTTTGAAAAGTGGGGAGGACATGTCCCCCCTGTCCCCAGTGGAAAGTACGCTCATGGACAATGTACGAGATAATAAAGTGAAAGTACTAGCAGAAAAAATATTATATTTGAAGGCATTAAAGGTTTTGGTTACCATTTAAAAATTGTAATGACAATAACATGTTTGAAAAATATAAAATGTTCTGCCTTGTTTTCTTCCTGGACAGGCTTTACTGCTTTGATTGCATTGAAATCATGCAATAAAGATAAGATTTGTGGGTTGATGTTTTTCTATTGGTGACAAGCGTATGAGAAATTCCATCATGTTCTTAGTTATTTTTGATTAATCTGCTTCACACAATACAGAACATTTGTATTATTAACAATTAGATAAGATAAACCAAGTTATTTTATTTTTACAAATAAAAAACAAAAAACGGGCCCTAAATATCTGAAAGAAAACAAACACATTGTACAAAAGGTGTGTGCTTCAGTTCCTTTGAATCCGAAAAGCTTGTTTGACCTATTAGTGGTGCTGTGACTTCAGATGTTTTGGCTTTTGCAAGAGACTACTTCTGCAGATAAATTCAAGGCATTAGATAATTTGTGGGTGTCAGAGAATAATTCTCCCTTACTCCTAAGATATTTAACTTTTCTGCCTGTTGACGTTTTATTACCATGACTCTGTTATTCTCAGTTTTATGACCGGTCAACTCTCGGTCACAGATCCTAAGAGTCAGCCAAGTGATTCAGTGTCTCCAGATGTTGGGGATATCTCCAGTGTTCCCAGATGTTTACATTAACTCCCCCAATATGTTTATTAACTCTCTGTAAACTAGTTAAAAGGTCTATCGAGAGAGAGGCTGGGCAGAATTGATGTGGCAACCCACCCGTGCAGTCAGAACCTCTTGCTGCTGTGACTTGTGATATGAATTCTCCGGCCGATACTTGTAATAAACTACCAGTGTTTGACATCAAAGCTCCAACTCTCCTCGTGTCTTTCTGAGTCCTGACTCTCCATTGCTGCAGAAGTTTCCCTTACAGTGGGCACCCTGTGGTAGCATCTGGTAAGAATCATTCACTGAACAGTACATGCAGGTATAATTGCATTTGGGTTTTATTAATAGTATATTTGTGTGTCCACTGTGTGCATCTACAGTGCTAAAGCATGTGTCCATAATGCATATATTAGTATCTGGCTCTAATATCACTCAATGTACAACGAGGTTCGAGCCACATGATCCGAATCAGACATTTAACAGATAAGGTGGTAGTACAATGTTTTACACTAAATATAAGTACACAGAAAGTAAGTACAGTTGAATTGCAAAGCATTCACCATGTTCTTAGCAAGGCATTTTTTTTAAAGGCACTGCGCTATTTACACAAAAGCAGCAAATACACTCAATTGCTGAAACAAGGATGTTGTTTTTCATGTTTTTATCCGCTCCATTGGTTCTGTCCATGAGGATGTCTTTATTGATCTGGAAGAAAACCAAAATAAGTTATTATCATTGGGTCATTTCTGCTCATGGTACTGTCTATTATTTTTGAATAAAACAATGTATGTTAATGCCAATTCATTTGTGTGTGAACATATTTACATTTGCCATTTAATAATTATGATATTTTAAGTAATGTATCATTAAACCAAGACATTACTGGAAAACAACATGCTGTATAACAATGCACACAAAGTGTAAAAGCTTTATTTGGTGGATTTGCTCATTGCTGAAACTGGCAAGCAGCACAGCACATTATAAAAGCTTTATTACATTACCTGCTGCCACATTTGAGTAAAGGCTCTCTTCTGGTTCATTACTGGCACCTGTTAGAAGGATTACAATAATGTATCAAAGGACAATTCCTGTACTTTATTTAGACACTGCTGGCCACTGCAGTAGTTTGTATTACTCCATGTTAAACACTGAGGAAATACTGTACCATTTCCAGCTTCTACAGGCCCTCCTATTGTTTCATAGAGACAACGATCACCTACAGAGAAGTGAAAATCAAGCCACATTTTAATCACAATTAAGGCCAAAAGTTAAAATAAATCATATTATTAAACCGGACAATGGCTGACCATGGAGGAGAGTAGAATATTGTGGCATGTTTTGAATTTCATCCTGGTTGATCATGTGGTCTGTAGCAGGGCCCTGATTGGTCCTCTGAGATCTGTGCAAAACACATGAAGATAAAGTGGATTTATGAGAGGAACATAGATATAGCTGCTTTCATGTTCATAATGAAATACAATAGAGTGTTGTACCAACCTGATACAGCATGAATCTGTAAAAAAAAGAAGACATTTGCTGCTATATTATTATGTTTTGCAAAGTGTTCTACTGTTAAAACAGTACGTGTGGTTACATTAGAGTCAATCTGATATCAGAAGAAAATGATCTCACCTTTTGACTTTCTGTATAAATACAGGAACAGCAGCAGGAGAATAATCAGTACAACTCCACCAAGCAGCCCAACGATCAGAAGAATGGGAAATTGAGAGGCTTTTCCAGGCCCGGACGCTGCTACTATAAGTAATCTTTATTAATATTTATTTTATATTAAACGTTCCTGTTATAGATTAACTGTATAAAACATCTCTCTTAAACAAACACAGTTTAATTCAGATGAAACTAAGCTTTCTTTATCTCATACTGTAACACAGCTTACAAAAAAGGAAGGGTTGTTAAATCATACTTACATTTGACTGAGAACCAACTCTTTGGTGACGTCCAACCATCTGCTGGATCTCTCCGTTTACATTGATAAAAGCCTTCGTCTGACTTTGACACTGCAGAGATGGTCAGCTCCTTCCTGGTATCGTTCTGGATGAGTTTGTCATCTTTATAGAAATCCACATTATAAAGAAGCGTTCCTGTCTTGAACTTGCAGCTAAGAGTGACAGAACGTCCCTCAGCCACAGGACGGACAGGACTCACCAGGATCATTTCATAGTCTGAAAAGAAATCAAAGAATATAAAGGCTTTGACAGAGTCATCAGCTTTTGCAGATTTAATATGTTTATGCACAACTGGCCTAGTCTGGCAGAAGCTGAAATGTCAGGTAGATGTATGAGGACATTTAAACACAGAATATTATCTTTGATCTTTGAGAGAAGTAACCCTGGAAATCACTTCGCAAATTAGCCTTTTTTATGAAGTTTTACTAATTTGAAGAGACGTTTGGCTAATGCTTGTTGTCACCTTCACATTTCAAAACAACATAATACTTCAGAAATAAACATTTTAAATAATTAAAACTCACAATCTTTAGTGATGTTGACTGCATTACTGAACTGTCCTGTTTCAGACTCACACCAGAACACTCCACTAACCCAGCTGCTGGTTATTGTGCATGTGGATCCAGTCATTGTCCCCCAGGAAGAACAGGGATAAAGGTAGTCAGGTTTCGTAAACCTCATCACTCTCCACTCAGTGGAGATTCCCTCACAGCTCAGTAACACAGACGTTTTGCTGAAGTGCTGCACACTGTCAGGACTCACTGTGAGAGACGCTGCTGAATTCAAATCTGAAACACACAAAGAGTGGACATTTAAACCATGCAGACTGAAAAAGACAAAGCATTGGTATGGCAAAACTGCCACTTAATTTACTCTGAAAAAACAAACGGGAACAAATTAAAGTAGGAGGAAAACAAAAGTGAAAGTACCAGTGCCTCAGTCTCACACTACAAATGTGTTTAATTATATGTATTGTTTATGTCTTCAACTATTTAAACAGCAGATAAATATCTTAAAACATATTCCAAACTAAAAAAATAAAGAAAACACTTACCACTTATATCTAATGTATTGTAGAAGCCTTATATTATTAGGTTTTGGATTTACAAAGTCTAAGGTTTGAACCATGGCGAACAACAACTCTTGTGTCAGGATGAAAAGAGATTATTTTGTGTTCAAATTCAGTCCAGAAGATGAATCAGTCAATCATCATTCTGTTTTAGAGAAAGGTTTTGAAAACTGAACTATGACCTGATGCTGGTGTAAAAGAAAAGTTCCCAAAATAAGTGACTTTGTTCCATTTGCAATAATGGCAAAGTCAAAAACAAACCTCAAGACCAGGCAAACTTTGACAAAAGACATTTGTTGGCCTACTGGTGGTACAAACTACAGAAAGAAAGAAACAGGAAGAACATACTGACCTCCAGACCAGACAAACTTAGGTTGACTCCGCCCACTGTAATACACTGGATCTCCTCTTCCTGCTCTGCACACATATCCTGCTGTGTGTGTTTGTCCATCAATGATGAAGAGATGCTGTTCAGTCCCATTCTTGCTGCCAGGTAGCAGCTCATAGTCGTAGGACTTGTAGGACTTGTAGGAGTTGTGTGACGGTTTGGGAACAGCCTTATACCAGTAGAAGCTCCAGCCAGCAGAAGGATGATCAACGCTGCAGTCCAGAGTTACTGAGGCTCCAGGACTCGGCCATGATGGAGACACAGTGAGGACAGCCTTAGGTCTGTCTGTTGGAAAACAACATTTCACAGAATGATAACATTATGATGTATAATTGGTGGGTTGCATGCACTCCTTGGATCCTACATATTTGCTGCATACAGTATGTAAAAAACTAATTTAAGTGTGAACTGTACTTAACTATAATAACCAAAATACTATTTGTATATACAGTAAAAAAAAAGATTAACTGATAATAAATGACTTACTCTCAGAAACTGTCAATGTGAAAACAATCCATTTGTCACAGGTAATAAAGTATAACAAGGTTTGTTGGTGAAGTATTATCTTTATGTAAATGCTGTGATGTAAGAAACTGATCCCTGTCTTCTTATTCTTATTTTAATACTCATTATTTTGTGATAACGAAAAGCACAGGATGGTACAGTATACTTCACCTGCCTATACAGCGTCAGTGGAGCTGTTCAACCGTTAAAACATTACAATCATTTACAGATTATATATTAGAACTTGTCCAAACTGCGTGTTCACATCAACATGGCTCATAAATAAATAAAAACTGTTTGTGTTGAACTTGGTCATGGTGGTATTACTTTGATCACTCACCTGATACATTTAGATAGATTGTATTGCTTTTCTTTGTTGAGCCCTTCTGATAAAAAAAACAGTGGTATGCACCATTGTAGCCTGGAGTTAGAGAATATAATTCATAGCTCTCATGTTTGTTGTTAGGAAGCCATTCTTCATCATTCCAGTAGATTGAGTAAACCCAGTCGCTGTCTTTGTTTCCTGTAATGTCACACTTGAAGGTAACAGACTCTCCGGTAAAGAAAGTGGTCCAGTTTGGCTCAATGGTCAGTACAGCATCTAGAAACCATCACAAGATACAAAAAGTAAAATGTGTTTTCTCATGTTGTTTGGAGTTACATCGGTAGATTTGTCTAGAATGAGTAGAAAAAAGTATGAAAATTGTATAATTACCTTGAGCTTGTCCACGGTAAAGTAAATTCAGAACTGAAATAAGTATGAAACTAAATCAGACATTATCAAACTGACAGAAATATATATTAACTCAGGCATTTAAAATGTTTTATCAATGGTAATTAAATCAGGAAAAGTACTCACAGAAAAAAACCCGTAGACATAGCAAAGTGTGTCCCATCTTCACATCCAACACTGATAATCTGTCTCTTACACATACGTCCACTTTAACACTTGAAGACAATTGAGGAAGACTGACAGAGCACTGTGGGAGGAAATCGGATCTGATGCCAACATGAGCTCATTGGTTAATTACACATTTCCTAAGAAAAAGTAGTCACTCTTTCCTTCCTGTTTTATATTGGCATGACTAATTCATGCTCATGCCATGCAGATACATTTGAACTTCACTCTCTACCAAGATCCCACTTTAAAAAGGCAGAGTAAATAGTCATTTTTGCTCAACTCATAATCAAGTAAAAATGTATGGCAGTATTATACTTGTGTTTCACAGGCAGATATATTTAACGCCAACAGTTAGATGGTTCATCGAGACAACTGCAGAATGATTTAACCTCTTTTCATTCTTTAACTGACCTGCTGGAGACCACATGATCAACCAGGACGAAACTAACCAAAGAGAAAATGCTTCTGTTCTTCAGGGTCAGCCTGAATCGTTAATACGTTTTGAATGTATTGTTAACGTTATTAACCGAGTAGCATTTCCATTTCTCATTGGTTGTTTTTAAAATGTAGGAGTTCATAGAGAGGGATTTCAATATATATTTGGTTTGATATAGATTTCTCTTCAAATAATGTCTGTCTCTATGAAACAATCAAAGGCACTGAAGAACCTGCAAATGGTACAGTATAGTAAATATAAATACTGGAATATGACAATTCAAGGTTCACTCTTTTAAATATAAAATAAATTGTATATTTCAGATGAATCCACGGATGTGACATATTCTGTGGTCGAGCTCAAAAACATTTCTAAGAAGGGTGAGTGTTTGAATTTATGTTGTAACAAAAACATGCAATAAGTTTTGTCTTTTCATGCTTTCTCCTGATCCGTCTAACAGGGAAGAAAAATGAATCGGAGGATTGTGTTTACTCACATGTGCAGATGACATCAGCTGCAGGTATGAAGAAATACTACTTGCTTTAAGTTTTTGTTATTGTGCCTGCTAGGGTGTTATTTTTAAATGTGCCATCAAGGTGTCGCCAAAGTCAGCAATGTTCAAACCCTACACAAAACGTTGTCAATGTTTGTTACGTTTATTTTCTGTCAATTCAACCCTGTCTCCTAAAAATTACGTTCCCACAGAACTAAACTGCATTCTCAATTACGTTTAGCAAGAAACTTATTTTCTCCCACGTTATATTCGTTATGAACGTATCTCAAATACGTTTATTTTCTACATATCTTCTAGAAACGTATTTTCTCCCACGTTACGTTTCTTATGAACGTATCTTAAATACGTTTATTTTCTACATATCTTTGCCATTTATTGTCTTGGTTATAATAATGATAATAGTCATTTATAAATATCATTTTAGAGCACACATTTGAAATCAGTAGGCGAGGCTGTAATTTTGCCAGCTGTTACTCTCATGAGCGAGGCAGAAAATAATAGTTTTTAACATGCCAAAAAGCTGCTGTGACGTTTATTGCACCTCAAACATTAAAACAAATCCAGTTACGTGTTTCTGTACTTCCTCTAAGAAGAAAGGACAGTAACAGAAGATCTCTGTGACGCCAGATGTGGTGTTGTTAATGCGATATGATATCCGAAAAACATTTCAGTTTAGGATTGCCGAAGACACTACACTACCCATAATCCCCAGTTATCGTTTGGGACTACAGTCCCGTTGACAAACCCCGTGATTAATCTTCAAGCTCTGAGATTGGATGTTGGAGTGGCAGTGCGCCAAGGTTACGCCGAGCGTCAAGCTCTTTGAAATGGAACGAAACCACGGCAGACTATTCAAAACTGGACTCGAACGCCCCCCGAGAACTACACATGCTGGCTATTGTGTTTTCGCAACATATTCTCTATGGCACATCTACTGGGAATTGTAGTTTTAAAAGACGTTTTCGTTTTTCCAAAAATTAGAAGTTGACAGTATTAAACTGTGTACAGCCCTGGAGGTTTAGGCGATAGGAAACACATTGGTGTGTACACATTTAAAACATGTAATTACTACATGGGTGAAAATCGCTTTTATCCATAATGGGCAGCATTAATATATATTCTACTCCACTACAATTCAGAGGTTAACCTGGTATTTTTACTCCACTACATTTACTTTAGTAACTTTGCAGATTCTGATTAATGATGTGAAATATAAACAACCCTTAAAGCAGACTTTAGTTACACCTGAGTAAAATTCAGTGAAGGTGATTGTCAAGTGCCAACAATCAGGAGAGATATTTGATAGTTGGTGCTTGAGAAGACTAAACATTTATCTGCATATCTCTATAAAATATATGAATTACTCGTTATTCTCTACTAATAGTTAATTAAAAACAGTATATAATTGCTATTTTGCACATCCCTTTCAAGATTTCAAGATTTTCTAAGGTTTATTGACATATCATATACACAACTACGGTGTAGTTATGCAATGAATGAAAAACTTGGGTCGCAGGTTCCTCAACAGTGCATTACAAGACATCTATCAATATGTGTGTACCTCCACCATTAAACTGTCATATTCTGCACATTTATTATACTATCTACATTAGGGGTGTAACGGTTCACAAACATTTCGGTTCGGTACGTACCTCGGTTTTTTGGTCACGGTTCGGTTCGGTACGTTTTCGGTACAGCAGAATTTTTTTTCACAAAACAAAACATATATATATATATTTTTATTATTATTATTAAACTGTGAATAATGTATTCACTCAAATAAATACAAAATATAATAAAATAAACATTAAGGTGCAGCATTTCGATGAACTGAAATAATCTGTATTTGAACTTTACTGTAGCCTACTAGTACTAACAAAACATAAACTATTAGTTTTGGGTTTTTAATTATTATTAAACTGTGAATATTCACTCAAATAAATACAAAATATAATAAAATGAACATTAAGGTGCAGCATTTCGATGAACTGAAATAATCTGTATTTGAACTGTACTGTACTAGCACCTAAGCAGCCAGTTTGACATTAGGACTTGCTTGTCATTGTATTTTCATGTTTTTTTAAAGAAAAATTAACTTGTCCACATTGCTTGCCGAAAGGGCAGATCTGCTGGCACTAACAATGTCTCCTGATGTGGAGAAAACCCTCTCGCTAGGGACAGAGGTAGCAGATACAGCCAGGTAGCGCTTTGCTAACATGGCAACATAAGGATATTTGGTGTTTGTAATAGCTTTGGCTCGGTCTGATCTTTTTGCGAGTGGTGGAGGCTTAAATGCTAGTGGGAGTTGGGTTTGCACTTCAGTCTTTTTTCTTTTGGTACCGGTGATATTCACGTTCGGGTGATGCCTTTTCAAGAGTGTGCAAGTTTGATGTATTGCCAGCCGCGTAACCAATTTTAGTTGAACAATGCCGACAAACAGCTTTGGTTCGGTCCACCTGTCTTTGTCCGTCATCCTTGTACGTAACTGTGAAACCAAACTGTTCCCAAACCGGAGACTTCAATGATGCTGGAGGATTTTCGAGCTCAACTTTATCTGCGTTCGCCATTAATTTTTGACAGTTCCTCAAATTACTGACTACATTTGAACGCATCCCTCTGTCCAGCTCTCATAGTATGCCTCTCATCCAATGAAATGACTTGCTCGCTCTATGACGCGTTGAACCCAATGTGAGCAAATTACTCTGAATGCTGCGACGCAGCACCTGAGATTACTTCCAAAAAGTTATTCACGTTCTCAATTGTTTACGTTTAACGTTATATTCGTTCGGTACACTTCGGTACACACCTGTACCGAACCGAAGGGCCCGTACCGAATAATTTCGGTACGGGTACGTGTACCGTTACACCCCTAATCTACATACATAAGAGTATAATTCATATGTATAATGTCATTTAAAATAAGTGCTTCAACATAGTTAACATTGCAGGAAAGCAATACATTAGACGTTAAGTACTTTGTCAGGCTTAATATTTATCTGTAGATAGATATCCCAACAGCTTTTTTCTTATTTGAAAGAAGACCTTAACCTAAAGTATTCTTTAATGTTTAAATAAAGATTAATTAGTTTGTCTGTTTTGCACATCCTCATATTAATATCTTTGTACATCGTGCACTAAACTGTTTTATTGTAGAGATCACTTACAGTATCTTCTTGATTTTATTACATTCTATACTTCTATCATTGACCTTCTACTTTCCCCCTATGAAAGTATGTACTCTTAATATTTTTTTCATCAAATAACATTATTCAACAAAAATAACATTATTCAACAAAAATAACATTATTCAACAAAAATAACATTATTCAACAAAAAATAATTCAATAACGTGCTTTAACCACTAGGCGGTGCACACAAGGTACACAGCATACTAATAATAACTTTGTATTATTAGTGTAGGACACTTATGTATGTATAACATCTGAAGATGTGTAGTTTTATTCATGTTTTCCCATAATTTTACAGGATATTACTATACTATTTCACATGTTTTACTTCTACACATTAATATCTGATTTGTAAAACATCACAGATAGAAAGGCATATCCGTCATTTAATGGTAAGCTATTGAAATTGTGATTCCATAGATGTGTCTCCCATCACCCAAATCCCCTGACTATTCCCTCAACTCAGTATTTACATTCTTATATTCAAAGAAAATCAGTAATATCTTTAAAAACTACAAGTCCTTTTCTATCAGCTGTGCACCGTTATGGTGTAAATGTAACCTATATATCTACCAATTGGATCAAATATAAACGTCAGCCGAATTAGTATTGATACTGCAAGGAGACGTATTTTGTGAAAATAAATGCAAGGTGTTGTTTAATTGCTGATATATTTATGATCCACGTCACATATTCAGTTTTGGCGGCAGTTCTCCTGTTTGTCCAGAAGTCTTCTCATCAGGGCTCTATAAACAAAGAACTACGGCAGATGTGTAATATTTAATGCAGCCGAACTGTGTATTACAATGTCGTTATGTGATGACTTCCAAAGAGAAAAGCAAGAACACTCGGAATAAAGTATTATTATTTTTTTTTTTTTTTTTGGATATCATATCGCATTAATATCATATCACAACATACATTGCGGCTAAACATCCAATCAACGAGCTTCAAGCTGAGGATCTTGGGTAATCTGTTCAGTGGGTTTATGTGTATCCTCAAAATGTCCCTTATAGGCCTACGTCTGTTTCCGGTGACTTTATTTACGGCTAAAAAGCATGCTAAAAAGCCCAAGATTATAGAATTAAACGAATAAATAAAAACAAGGACAATTGTGTGTTATTGTTGAGTAAATAAGGAAAAAAAGATTTTCAAAAATACAGATTTCAGTATTTTGAGGCTCTAAGCCCCATTTCTTTTCCTCAGACGGGAAAAAAAAGTCCGACATTATACGATTTAAAATAAAAACATAAAACACTGGCATGTAATTTACGTTAGAATAAATAGAA